ATGGCTAGAGCAAGAGCAAGGGAAAGGACTAGAGTGAAGAAACTCGGAGATGGTGATCAAGATTGGAATGAGCTGTTATCTTCCTCGGTTCATTTTGAAACTATCGAGGAATCGGGTTCTCATGATGTTAAGTCTTCACTGGATCTTGTAGCTGAAGTGGAAGAACAATGCTCTCATTCGACTGATCAGTCCACCCAACTCAACAATGGTGATATTTCTGTCAGTATATTGGAGTACAGCAACTCTAACTTGTTTCCTGCAGAACCATGGGAGAGCCAGCTACAAAACAGTTTGTGGCAGGTTTAGAAAGCAATTGCATGCTCTAGATGGTTTATCCTGAAATAACTTGTTTCTTGTAAAAATTTTCCTTTAATTTCTGTCCTACTAGGAACTTCTTATCTTGTTTTTTAGAATGTAATTTATTCTCAATTTGGTAATTGCATCAGTTCTGGTTTTCCTCTTGAGTTTTCAGTCTCTTCCACATATGATGAAATTATTGTCTTAAATGTTGAGTTCCTTCTCAAAAGAAATTTTCATTCATATATAAATTATTTTCAATCAGTTTAACTGATTGATATGTTTTAGTGTTCTTTTTTGAAAATTTACATATTGACGAAAGTTTGAAAATTTTTCAATTTCTAGTTTGCAAATAAGCTTTTGTGCTTGTCTCATCATTCTAATTAAAATGAGAAATCATATTTATATCATCCTTCTCCATTTTGTTTAATTTTTGATCTGCTCCTTTCCCCTCCCTATTTGAGAAGGTTTTCTTTTCCATATTTTTGGAGTAATTGTCGTGTTTTTGTAACACTTGAAGAAATATCTTCCGTGAAGTTGGTATAATTTTTATGCAAGTTTCGTTTTTTAGGTCATGGTCTTAGGGTTTACAGATGTAATTAATATCACCAAGGGAGATGGAAAACTTAAAAAGCAAATGTTACTAACATTTCCGTGTGCATTAGTTTCCTCCATGATCTGGCCTTCTAACTCTCATCTATATTTTCTACAAGGTTCATGCATCAATACCTCCAATTTCCCTTGTTTAATTTCCTAGTGCTTTTTCCGTTAATCATAGTTTATTTTCTTTTATTTTATTTTTTTGGATTGTTGTAACGGTCAATAAATTGTGTTAGGGTACACGCCGATAAGAACACCTCAAACGGAGACGCAAAACACATCCAAACGATCTTAGAATCACAGAATAAAACCAGCAAGCACGAATTCAATCACAGTACTCACAAATATAATGTGGTTCACTCTTACGGAGCTACTCCACGGTGCAACGACGACGCCCAATTTTTTTATATTTCTTTTGATGTTACAAAAGAAAAGATAAAAAAGAACACGCTCTCTTGATCAAGATACTCTCCAAGAATTCTCACAAACTCTCTCAAGATCTCTCAATGATATTACTTATATATGTATCTTTCTCTTTCTCTCTCTGCTACTGAGATGCATTACAAATCAAACTTAGGAGGGTATTTATAAGTTTTCTCATAGGGTATGTGAACACTATTTGGAAGTAGGTGAACACCGTAGCAGGGGTAGGTGAGAAGGCTATCCACATAGCCTCAACGTTCTCAACAATCTCCCATTTGAAGAGTCTTCTCAACGAACTCTGTTTCTTAGTTGCATCATCTGAATGTCTTGTATATTTGATATCTTGCACGACCCTCAACGTTCTCAACGTATTCCATATGAGGCTACACAACCTTACCTTCTCGAGCGGAACTGGCTTGGTTAGCATATCAGCTGGATTGTACCTCGTATCAATCTTTACAAGTTTGAACTCGTTCCTGCTTTGTCACCTCCGTACGAAATGATGCTTCACATCAACATGCTTGGTCCGTATAGAATGCGTCGTTCTCTGACAAGTGAATGAAACTTTGACTGTCATAGTGGATGAAGTATTTTTCAAAGCTTACTCCAAGCTCGAGAAGAAAAGCTTTTAACTATAGCAACTCATTTGCTGCCTCTACAGCAGACACGTACTCGTCTTTAGTTGTCGACATAGCCACAATATCTTGTAACTTGGATCTCCAACTTATCGTTCTACCACCCAAGATGAAGATGTAGCTGCTCGTGCTCCTTCTTGAGCCTATGTCCCCGGTGTAGTCTGCATCACAAAAGCCCTCTAACTGTAAATCTGCCCCGTCATACTCAAGACGAAGGTCGGACGAGCATCTCAAGTAGCGTAGAAGCCACTTGACCACACCACAGTGGTGCTTCCCTAGAATGCTCATGAAGCGGCTCATAACTCCCACTCATCGTGCAATATCCAGCCTCGTGCACACCATCGCATACATCAAACTCCCAATGACAGATGTGTATGGTATGTTGGCCATGAACAAATGCTTTTTAGCAGTCTTTGGTGCTTGGGTCTTCGATAGCTTGAAATTTTTCGCAAACGGTGAGCCCACCGGTATAGCTTTTTCCATGCCAAACTTTTCAAGAATCTTCTCAATATAGACCTTATGAGACAACCTCAGCCTACATATTGATCTGTCTCTGATGATCCTCATCCCAAGAATCTAATTTGCTAGACCCAGATTCTTTATCTCAAAGCACTCGAAGAGGCGCCCCTTGAGTTCCTCAATGCGGGCCAAGTCGGGCCCTACAATCAACATGCCATCAACATAAATTAAGAGTATCACATAGAATTAAAGATACCTCTTGATGAAGTAGTAGTGGTCTGTATCGCATTTGAGAAAACCGTTCTCCTCCATAAAGTTCTCAAACTTTATGTACCACTATCGTTGAGCTTCCTTCAGGCCATACAAGCTATTGCGCAGGCAACGCATGAAGCCCTTCCTGCCTCATTCCTCGAAGCTCACTGGTTGATGTATGTAGATCTCTTCCTCCAAATCTCCATGAAAGAATATCGTCTTTACATCCATCTGCTCTAGATAGAGATCTTGAACTGCCACAATGCTCAGCATAATCCGGATCGTGGTCAACTTGACGACGAGAGCAAAAACGTCATAATAGTCTTTCCTTGCTTTCTACTCATAGCCCTTCACTACAAGCCTCGCCTTGTGGCGTCTCTGTCCATCGGCTTCATCCTTGATCTAATAAATCCACCGATTGTGAAGAGCCTTTCGCCCTCTTTGAAGTTTTACGAGCTTCCAAGTCCCATTCTTTATCAAGGATTTTATTTCTTCCTCCATGGCAGACTCTCACTCGTCCTGAGCTTTGTTGGTCTACTGTACCTCTTCATAGCTCTCTGACACCCTCGGATTTCTTAGAGCTTTACAAACTGCGATCGACAGCTCTTCTAGATCCTGCTACTGTGCATCCGACACGTTCTCTTAGTCTTTGTCTTCTATGCTGACTGGTATCTCATCGTCGTCCTCACTGTCGGTAATATCTAGGAAAAGAGAGGGAGATAGATGACTCCCACTCACATCTTTGGTCTTTTACACCGCATCTTCATGGAACACGACGTTACGACTATGCACCACATTGCGCACATCGTGATCCCAGAAATGGTACCCATACTCATCTCATCCATAGCCAATAAAAGAGAGCTTCTTTGACTTTGGATCAAGCTTTGAGCGGGCTGCAGGATTGGTCATGACATATGTGTCACAACCATATACTCATAAGTGTTCTAGCTTTAGCTTCTTTTCGGTTCAAACCTCTCCAGGTATCCCATAACAGAGAGCCGCGAATGGCCCGTGGTTGATCAAGTATGCATCAGTATTCATAATATCAGCTCAAAAACTCTTGTGTAATCTGAAGTGGATCCTCATACTTCTGACGTGCTCCAAGATACTGCGACTCATACACCCCTCCACTCCGTTGTGCTGAGGTGTGCCTGAAATGGTCTTCAGTCTCCTAATTCCATGGGATGAGCAGAAGTTCTCGAACTTCTAGTTGTAATACTCACCTTCATTACCAGACTTTAGATACTTTAGCTTATTGCATGTTTCGTTCTCTACACAGGCAAGCCACTTCTTGAACATTATAAAAATATCTGACTTGTGCTTCAAGAAGAACACCCATAGTTTTCTAGTAGCATCATCAATGAAAGAGACAAAGTAAAGAGAGTTACCAACATATGGGACTTGCGTAGGTCCCCACACATCGGTGTACCCCAACTCTAATTTTTACAGTTTTAGAGCCAGCTTGGTCTTGTTGAAGCTCATTTTCTTCTGTTTGCCTAGGATGCAGTCCTCACAGAAAGTCGGATCGGTCTTGCTCAGACCCAGAAGCCTCTCTCCTGTAGCCATAATCTGCATCCCCTTCTCATTCTTGTGGCCAAGTCGCCGATGTCAAGTCATGCAGTCGGTGAATGATGATGCTTGTCCTGTGGCAAGCAAGTGGTCGATCTTCCCATTGATGATGTAGAGAGACTCATCGTGTTTGCCATGTGCTACCACTAGGGCACCATTGGACACCTTCTAGTTTCCCTACTTGAAGGATACTTTGTAAGCAGAGTTAGTAAATTGTTCGACTAATATAAGATTCCGCCTGAGATCTGGTATATGTCGAACATCATTCAGCGTCAAGGTGGTCCCGTCATTCATCTTGAGGGTACAATTTTCCTTCCCAGATACATTAGAAGGTTGATCGTTACCAAGATAGACTGTTCCCAAGTTCTTCTTCACGAATGATGACAGTAGCTTTTGTTGTGAGGTTGCATGTAAAGATGCGCCAGAGTCAATGACCCACGCGTCGCTCTTATCTTCAAGTGATAGGAGAAGCGCATCCGAATCCATCTCGAGCATAAGATTGGCTACACCGTCAGCCTGATCATCCCCTATTGATGCTAGAACAAAAGCTTTGTTGTCCCGTGTAAGTGACTCTTCTTTTCATATCTGAAGCTCTTCCCTTCACCGTAACCATTCGGGTCTGGCCCTTTAGACTTTCCTCTAGACTTTGATCGGCCTAGTCGTCCCCTATTCTTCTTCTGTGCATGCCCTCGTGCCTCAACATGCACGGCACTCCCACTGCTAGAGGCTTCAGCTCCTGAGACTTTGCGGCGA